CAAAAACACCCCTTTTCCAAACTAATTTTTATATTTTTTTTGATCTATCTATATTATTTCTATATATGTAAATCTTTAATCATTTTCAGTTAATAAATTTCTTAACGTGAGTCAACATTTATTGTTTATCCCATTTTGATTAATGAATTTATTATTATCGTAAAAGAAATAATATCAAATTATTTCAGCATGATTTTTCACCGTCATATACGCCATTCCTTATGGTTCGTATTATAGAATTTATAGTTATTTAAAAATGAGAAAAGATTGACCGGGAAAGGGGAAATGTGGATGTTTAAAAAATTCAGATGAAAAAATGTTTATAAATTAATTTTTGCTAATAATATTATTATATATGTAAAGTCTTTTATTGTAATGTTTTTTTTAAACTAAATTCTATATATGTTACATATACGTTATATATAAATTGAATCTCAAGCAGTTTTTGGTGAAAAAGCTCCCGTGAATTTAATAAATATATATGTATAATTAGTAAAGACATAAAAATTATATACTTCATCATAAAATTGTAACTTTTTATTTACTTTTTGCGTCAGATATTACTTCATTTAAGATTGTTTGTTGCTAATAAAGATAAATAATAGTAAATAAAGATTATAAGAATCAAAACTAAATATATGTATTTTACCAATTTAGAATCCAGTAAATTTTCATTACGTAATTTGCAAATGCCTTTTGTTCACGTTCACGTAATGAGGTTTCATAACGTACCTATGAATCTAAAACAGCTTTAATTTCTGATGCTGCTACAGCCTTCTGTTTTCAATTCAAAAGTCTCAGCTTCCAACTTAGCTGTTTACAATGTCCATGTACATATATACATACACGCATAGATGTATTAATTAATTTGAATGATAATGTTTAAAGGAAACAATGTTTTGATAACATCTACAAGATTTCCTATTTGGCCAACAGTTTCGATTCTTTCTACAACAGCCGATTTATGATCTTCTCTGGTTTGACGAAGAATACTATTAACTTGCTTCATTATGATTGACATTATAATAATAATAATAATAATAAATATATCTTTTTAACTATTAAAATTAAAATAATGAAATTATCATATAAGTCACATACTTTTTTGTGTAACAACCCATTCAGAGACTGGTTGTTTAAGTGCTCTATAAATAGTGGCACACATAGTAGAAAATGATAATAACAAAAGTGTTT